TATTTAATACTAATTAGAGCCTACTAGAAAATGAATGTTGAGAATTTGGGAAAAATTCTTTCATTTATACTATACAGCTGGTATCCACATTAACAATAGTAACATTAATAGTATTTCTATTTTAATAATAATAATATTAGTTATTATTAACACAAATCTAGAGCCTTACTACAGCCTACAATTAATAAAACCTTACTCTTAGTCTTACATAACTTCAGAAGTTACAATTACCAAAGTTTTATGCTCATAAATCATAAAAAAATAATATTTATTTTTATAGAACAATCTTAGTACTACTACTGTTAGTGGTATTGGTAATTTAGTACTAGTAGTGACATTATTATTATAAAAATAATATAATACTAATAGTATTATTATTAACACTAAGTACGCTGTACCCTCTACTGAAGATATAGTACACATTAATAATAAAAATAAACGATCTTATAACACTAAAATGTTGTTTTAAGCTCGTTTATTTCTAGTATTATTTAATATACCTTCAGTTCCAAGTTCTATACACCAATATGCACTACAGAAATTAAATAATTACTAAATTAGATATAGTAGTAGTAGTACACTGCTTCATGGGTTCTTACACAGCTCTTAAAAAATTAGCATGCAAAAATTGAAATAATACTTAGGAATACTTGAAAGTAAAACTTCAACAGAAACAAACTCACCTAACTTTCATAAAGGCTAAATAAATTAATACACCTAAATAAGTATAAGCCTATTTTACACATACGAAATTGCAAAATTGATGACAAAACTGCTTCTCCCTGGTGTTGTTTATTGTAACTTTCAATTCGTAGATCTTACGAACCCATTGATTTTTTATATTTTTAACATTTAATATCTCTGGTCCTTTTGTGCCTATTAACTAATTTGAGAATTATTTGTTTTAAAATGGTACATAATCATACACCACTAAATATTGGAATGTTGGTAATTTATCTAAGTGCCTTATGTAATAAATGAATTAATTTAATAATAACAGGACTAGGGGGGACACATTATATTCGTAAAATAAGTCGCGATTATGATACAAAAGCTTTTTTTGCAATATTTAAGCTCGCTGACAGAAAAAAAATATTTGTTTAAAGGTGTTGAGATTCCAAAAGAAGTGGGTAATGAAATAAATGTCACTGGTAAATTTTGTGGAATGATGTATACTTTGGGGCATTTTAAAAGTAAGTCGAATTAACTTAATCCTTCCAGTATTGAAGAAATTCTCCAGATTTTACCTATATAAAACAAACTGAGTACAAATTTACAAAATCAATCAGTTTTGTCTGATATGAAGGAAAATTAAACGTTGTGCTCTGAAAAAGGAAGGAAAAGGTGTGATGTCTTTATGGCGGCTGGTCAAAACGATAAGCCAGTTCTGGATTTATGGAAAAGCACCCCAGAATAATGTAGCATGGTAACGGGTTATTTCAGTGGTGTATAAATGCATCATTTAATTCGAATACATCATTAATTTTAGCCTATCTACTTTATTACTTATACTTAGCATTGTTTTGTACATTTGTCAAGAGAAAAGGGGTGTGTCCTGATTTGATCATTGTGGGATATTTTCAGGTAGTAACTGATTTCCCGACAAGTATTAAATAGTAATATCCGCAAATAACAAGCATTAGTTAGCTAGGACGCGTATTTTGTTTTACCCACCATCATACCCCAAGTTAAACAAAAACGCGGACTAGCTAACTAATGAATGAATATATGCTGTAAAATTCGTTCTTTTAAGTTGCAGGCTCAAACCATTTTGGTCGCACCTTTTTTTTTCACATCTAAGATGTTTTTGATTAGATATTATGACTTTTCGTCAATACACACCAACAAACCACAGTAATTAAGAAAGTGACACTCCATACTAACCAACATTAGCTTTAGTGTCGCAACCCTATTAATCTGGATAAACCTATACTTTACAGAACCAACCACTAGTTTTACTGCATGAACTTCAGTGAAAATAAAAAACATCACACATTCATTTGAAAGATATATTCCTCTTTGTATTCTCTTAGTTTAAAGTATTAATCCTAAATCATCGTATGCATACTTATATATATATATATATACATTCATCATATTTAATTGTAATATTATCGAAATAAAGTTTGTGTTTTTTTTCCACTGTTGCTATGACTACATTCTGTAATCAATGGTTGGACAACTTTGCACGCTGAATACCTGAATCATATGTAACGTTAGGTTTTTAACGCAATTGATACAGTAAACTAAATTTGTATATACGTCAGTAATAACATTTTGTTAAGAATACTCCCATATTTATATATATATTTTAGAAGATACTTTTAACTTCACTATTTCGTTTCATGTTAATCTTATATATATTATTACTAGTATAACTATAAGTTGTAACGTAAATTAAGCAGTGAATTAACACGTCGTTAGGCTATTCTTTTGAGATTCATATTCATGACATAAGGAGTCGACGATGATAAAATAGATCAACAGGTTCCTCTCGTATTTTGTAACTAATAACAAACTTGTGGTAACTAAACAATAAATTTCGGATATCTTCAGGTTAGGCTTAAGTTACTTTTATAATTTCGAACATTGTAAAATATAAAATTTGTTAACAATAACGGTTGTTTGGTGTTTTATGGCGCCACTAGGCTATCTGCGTCAAACAACCGGTAAAAACATTAAAAGTAAATTGTAGTAAAATGTAAAAATAAATTTAGTTAAAACCAAAATATGTCAAAATAACAGATAAAATAATTAAATAGAATTAAAAAGACAACAATAACAGAAAAACTTGCGTAAATTTTTAAGGCCTAAAGGCTTGTTGAAGCTGTAACTTATATAATAGTTGTTATTATATTTTATGATTATGTTCATACTTAATTATTTCAGTTATATTTTCATTGATTTAGGTATCACAGGCTGCTTACAATATACAAGTAAAATCCTTCTAATGTTTGGTATAAATTTGAAAAGGAGTAATAAATCAGTCTGTCAGTTATGTAACTTAAGATAAAACTTGATGTGTATACCCTATGATTACACTATTCAATATCTTAGGTGTTGCAAATGCTTCTATCATTCTGTGAAGTGGCTGATACTTTTTATTATTGCCATTGTAATTCTTTTTTTTTTTACTGTAGTATTGATCCTATGTTTTTTTTACTTACATGCTAAAAAAGTAAATAAAATGAGTAGCACATGTATTTTTCTTTAGATGAGGAATTTTGATTACAAAATAGTATCAAACTTACATACATTAAAAGTGTGAAGACAGCCTGAATGGGTAATGAAGAAAACTTATATATGTCCAAAAAAGTGGGTTCCTCGTAATCAAATTTATATATACATTAGAAGTTGGAATGTTGTTATTCAGACTGACATTGTTTAAATTGCTCAACTTGATTATTTTGATATAATGTAACATTCCACATGTCATACAAACAAGTTAGAATCTTGTGCGCTGCTAAATTGTGTGATGTTCCATTTCTTCACAAGATCATTTTTATCAGTTTGTTTTTATTCACTTGCTTAAAAAACGTTAGGTTGATAAATTTTATGATTTTTGCATAGATATTTTACAAAACTGTGTTCATTTTAAAGCATGTAGTGTGTTACTTTTTTCCTCATCAGGCAATAGAGCATTTCATAGAATTAGACAATCTTACACTGAAATGTAACATGATCTTCGTAGTTGTTTTATTCATAACAATGTTTATTATGGTCAACTGACAATGGCACTGGCAACCCATGGCTGTTTGTTTGTACGTATATTGCTTCTTTACACTGTACTTTCCACGTAGAAATAAAAATTCATGACTAATGCTCTTGAATATCTGTCTCCACACAAAAAATATCCCTTTAAACTTTGACAAAGAAGAGTTGATTTCATAACATGCCTTCATCGGGATTTCTTGCACATAAATGTTGGTAAGTCCTATTAAACAGACCCTGAGCTACTAGGCCAGCTAGTCTAGTGTACATTGCAGTTCTACCACCACCACCACCCAAAAAAAGGGGGAAGAAAGGCTCTTACTCTGCAAAAGGTTGCCAGCCTCCAACTAACACACATGCTAACCAAATTTTGGAAAATATTTCCTCAACAAGGATCGACTGGGACTTAGCCCCAAGATACTTTCCACTGAAGAAGCAGAAATTACTGTTAAAATTTTGATAATCACAATTCTTGAAGTAGGTGACATGAAAACAGGTTATTTATGGAAAAGTTGTCAAAATAATTTTGTAAAAGACCTTATCAAAGTAATGTTGACATTAAGGGCCAAGTAGATCTGTAATTGTTATTAATACGTTTTTTTATATCATAATTTCTGAGCCCATGCATATGTCACTTTTATGGCTACAAAAAAAACCTTAACATGAAATTATTTCTAAATGGAAGTAAAAAATAATTGTCATTTTAAAAATAGATGTATTTTTCACCATACAGTTGTTATTTCTACTTGTCAGTGTCAAAGGTTTAATACAATATACTGATATAAGTTTTTTATGTGTTTCTTTAAAAAATTTCAAAGTATAAATAAATTACTCAAATTTTTGATAAACTTTTATGTAAACCAGTTTAACATTTATTTTCAGTGAAGTATATTGAAAGAAGCACGTACAAGTAGAAATATTGAAATTTAAAATTGATCATGGTGTACATACTAGTATCAGTTGTTTTATTTATGACATCTTTTATGAGACATATCACTGAAACCATTTGTAAAAGATATTAACAATATACAATGACAAAATATTTCAGTTATGGCGACAACAGCAGCGAAAAAACAAGAAGCAAAACTTGCAAAAAACTTGGCTCATAAAACACACTGTAAGTATATCAATTATATTAATAGGTTTTTAATAAAATTAATAAGGTAAAGTAATAGAAATTTAATCAGAACAGTATAATTTTTTGTTCAATACAATCTTAAAGTCTTTCCCCTTTAAAATGTATGTATACCATGAAGAATGTTTGAGGTTTGTTATATTGCTTGTTTATTGATTAGGTTGTGATTATAAAATATTCAACAGATTTCTATAATAATATAGTGAATTAAGTGTTTGTTAAACTACCACAGGTAAAAATTTTAGAATACACAGTTGTGTTCTAATCACATAGAATGAAAACAACAGCATTAACATAGTAATGTATTGTTGACAGAAGCATAGTGATGGTAACTAGGGGAGAAAAATATACATAAGCAGCTGGTACTAGAAAAACTGACTTAGAACTCCTAAAAAAAGAAATTAAGTGAACCATGAATATTGGGTTAGGAGGTAGGCAGATATACTGTAACAAACTAAATAGTTGAAAAGCAATTTTTCCTGAATGAGGTTGGAACCCCAGCCTACCACATGAATTACTAGGAGCACAAGTTACAAGCAAACAGTTCTCCTCCTGTATTTAGACAGACTCAGTAGATGTAGTAAGATGCTGGGTTCAAAGAGTTTTTGTCTTCTTTAATTATTTTGGCTTTTTATGGTAAAGCTTCTAACAAGCTAGCGTAATTTTTGTGTGTGCTTTGGTTGTTTTTGAAGGATAATTTAAAAATTCAGAGTTTCACAAGTGGTGCATGTTCTTTTGTTCCCAAACTCAGATTTTTGCATGATTCATTACAAAATAGTTTCATTTAGTGTAGCTTTCGTTTGTGGCCAAACTGATCTAGGTCCAGTTCCATTGGAATATTTGGGCTTCTCTAAACAATATTTAGTATGTTTTTATTTATTGACTTTTATAATTGAATATAACATTTTTAATTTTATTCAACTAGTGTTAACAGGTTTTTTTGTTTTTTTAATTCTGAAAGAATAATAAATTTTAATGATTTGATTATTATTTAATAACTGTAAACCACTGAGTGTCCAACATTTGACTGTACAAAATTAATATCATTTTGTGTATTTGAATAAGCTAGATACTGTTTGTTAAGTAACACAGCTTCAAGTTATTTTAATACTAGAAATAAACGACCTTATAACAGTTTTTAGAAGAGCTATCTCAATCAGTTAACATTATTCGGGGGAATTTAATAAGTGAGCCGAGAAACAAGGATTCCTGATATTGTTTCAAAGAATTCTGGAAAAAGAATACACTATGGCATCAGAATCTTTGGAGGTTATGTGCGCAATCTGAAGTTATTCTAAGTTGCAAGAATTCCTTTAAGACTTGAAGAGGAGTAATTTGATATTATTATTTAGTAGTTTTTCTTAAACTAAACCTCAGTTTCTTTTTAGTCACCAAGCAAGAAATAGAGACACTGATGATAAATTTCAAAAAAATGACCATGTCAAAATTGGAGAGGACGATGTTTCGTGAGATTCTTCACAACACGTTCGAAATGACAGATGACATTTTAATGGACAGAAGTAAGTCTTCAGAAATTCTGAAAATTCATGTGTAATTTTTAAAAAACTGATATTGTAGTCAAATATATTACATAGTGCATATATGTATAATTTAAGAAAATATTTTGAAATCTGAAATTGTCTACAAAACTTGTATTTTGCTGTTACATGTGAAATATGTTTTTGTTAAATTGATACTATAAACTTATTCAGATCTGCATATTTAAATGATACCACTGTTATGAGCAACTTTATTAACATGCTCTTGTTTCACTTACAAATTTATAGATCTATCTAAATACATGATTCTTAACATCACTATGTTTGGGACTAACATTAAGCAAATGATTATAGCAGATTTGCTTTCAGCAAGCATTATAAACAAAAAATAAGTCTCTTTTAGAAATTAATTAATTAACAATTATTTATAGTTTTTAATGACATGTATTTCAAGATTTGAAAATATATACAGAAGTATAAATAACAGTGACACAAGAAAATTATTTATTAAACATTCATACATTTGTATGATATGCAGTTTGTACTTTTTAAATTTTATTCCAATTTTTTGTGTTGACTATTTCAGAAATATGATAACATAATCTCATATTTGTCTTTGTTTTTAAATTGCAAAAGTAAAGCAAACATTTGCTTGTAATTCAGTACAGTCACTTAATGTTGAAAGCTGACCAGAGGCAAAGGGTCATAAAGGACAAGACAAGGAGTAATTTTTGGGACAATATTATGTGTATGTGTGTAGTTGTCACATGTTGTTGTATGAAATTAAAATTAATCAGATATTTTATTTGGCAAATATATTCATTGTAGGGACATTTAATATAATCATTAGTTTCTGTGGTCTTATGTGCATAGATGAATAAGCATGTAACAAACCGTGACAAATGTAATAGAATGTTAAATATTAGTTCAGAAATGTATTTTCAGATTAAATTTTTTACAACCAGTTAGTTATATGGATTATAAAGTGTGCAAAGTCTTGTGAAGGAACATGAGAATTGACCTATCAACGTTAACTTGATTTCTCGAAATAGGAGGAGTCATGAAAGCCAAAATGCATTTATCCAGATAGAATAGTTCGATTACTGTCTGCTTATTACGATTTTATTAGCAGAGTTTCAAGGGGGCTGTGAAACCTTATAAGTGTAGTGATTGTTTGTATAATAAGCCTAAAGTAAAGACATAGAGGGGAATGAATTACCTAGCCTAGAGTCAAGTGCATAAAATTTATCATGAAAGTAAAAATATCTATCCAATTCTAAACTTAAATCGTTTCTGAATTAAACTATTTTCTGTTATATCACTAACATTTTTAATAATAAAAAAAACCTCTTTAATCAAAGGAGACTCTAAGTTAAGAAATCAACAAATATTTTTCCAGTTTTGTTGTCTATATATTTCCTGAGGATGACGTTGTAACATGTAGAATCGTCAACTTTTTGAAGTCCATAGATAGGCCTAAATAAAATGTTTTTAATTGTGTACCAGTTTAACGTTGAATATTATTTATGATTATAAAAGCCATTATAGGAATGTAGTGTTATCAAAATACACTGGCTTTTTTACATATTAGAAATTGTTAATCTGACTGATTTTTACTAATATTTATTCTCTGAATATGCCACAAATTCATTTCATGAATGATCATAATTTTGATTGGCTCACAAAGGAACTTACCAACATTTGACTGCCTCGACTGCACTTTTCTGTCTCCTTGTTGGTCGAGCTTGATTTTTATTTATTTATTTCTTTCAGTTAGCTATTAAATGTGAGGTTAGGGTCTACTATTGGAGGGTGGGGGTAGTACTTGCCCTCATCATTTTTGACAGGCCATACGCTTGTGTCACTTAAGTTTCAGCAGTGTTTGGTACTATTTTTCTTTTCATTTTCAGGCTGAAAAGCATACATATAGTCACAGATTGTAATGTTAAAAAAATTAACTTTTATAATACTTTGTCTTTCTAAAGTGTTTTTTTTTATTGGAGCTACTGGGAGGGTGTTATTCAATTACTTTTAAGTAGAAGAAAATATGAGCTCATTAAATTGTCCCAGTTTATTCTGCTTTGCTGAAGTGCTGCTAGAAGGCTATAATTGTAAGTTGTTCTTGACTGAAATGTATACTTCATACTTTTATATTTTGTTATAACAGATGCCAATTATGTGAATTTTTAAAATGCAGTTTGGTCACATATCTTTATTAACTTCTAATTCTGTTCATTGTACTAAGAGATTAGTGTTTGTGTATAATCAACATTGTTTACAATGATTTCTTAATAATTCTATAATGAAAACTGTGTCAAGAATCTAATGATGTTTGAATTTTGTACCTACACTGTTTCTACCAAAGCTGTTGTACATGTGCGCATTTTGTTTCAACTCATTAGTCTTCCGGACATTTGATGCAGACAATGATGGTATCATTGATTTTGGAGAATGGGTAACTGGTCTTTCCATTATCTTGCGAGGAACTCAAGATGAAAAGATAGACTGTGAGTTTAAAGCAACATTCTAAATTTCCATCTTATTTTTAATTAAAACATTTATAAACAGTTATAATGGATCATAGATATGGTATGTATATTTTCTATATGATCGTTTGACGTTTGAAAAAAAAAAACATTCTTCTAAAGAGGAAATGATGTTTTAAGCAGTTGTTTTCCTTAACTTTCTTTTAACAGTTTGTTTTAAAGTCTATGATTTAACTGGAGATAGAATCATCACCCGGGAAGAAATGTTCCATATGTTAAAAAATACAATGGTTAGGGTAAGTTCTACATGGCTTTCTCCGAGTATTTGTCTTTTCTTGTTAAAATACTGTGGTAACAAACTTCAATCTTTCTCGATTTTTGGTTATTTAACAGTTTGCTTTAAAGTCTATGACTTAACCAGAGACAGAAACAATACACAGAAGGAGATTTTTCATATTTTAAAAAAAAACATAATGGTTAGGGTTAAGTTCTACATTTTTGTTCCACGTGACTTCCTCTGAGTACATTTTTTGTTAAATTTAATACAGTACTAACAAACTTTAAGTGTTCTATCATTTAATGTTTTTGATTTTGGCTATTAATATAGGCTACATTGAGTTTTGCCTAACATGGATCAATAATTCCAAGACATTAAACTATGTCATTTTACCTCTTTAAGATAACTCATAATAAAAAAAATTATTTGCTAAAATTGTATGTTCAAAGTTACTGAGATGTTTAAACAAAAAACTGTTTAACACAAGGAGCTGTGATTTTATTTATATGTTCCATCTGTGTGTTATAGAACAGAATTTCCAGAAAAGAAATATAAAGGAGCATTTTTAGGGTAAAACTTGGTATCATGATTTTATATAATGTGGACTTCATTAACTCAAAATACTTGTTAACAAGATCAATTTTGGTTTTTTGTGCTTCTAATTTGCAAAAAAAACAAAACAAAATGTATGTGAAATAGTAATTTTATACCTTTTTTATGCACTTTACCTTATGTGCTGATAAAATTCATATGAGAGGGGTTGTAGTAGTAATGTTACATCTACAGAACATCAAAGATATCAAATTACTATGATTATTCCACTTTATAACATATGTTGGTGTATATAACATATGTAGAAATACTGATGATAATATACTATTTTAATTGTATGGACCAATATATATACATTGATGTAGACCTTGTTTTGAATTTAGATATTTGTATTGTTCTTTGACTGCAATGGGAATAGCCTAGTGTGATGGGCATGGCTTAACAGCTGCAATTTTCTCCAAAGTGTTAAAACAGTTTAAATAGATAAAACATGAGTTAGGTAGAGTAGATGTTATTGATGTTTGAGTATGTTAGTAAATTGCACTCCATTTTGGAATATTAAGTTTGTGTTCATGAAACAATAAGAGATACACTATATAATGTACAATGCAAAAGATTATCAAAGAAGTGAAATAGTTGTAATAGCATCTACTATGAACTTAGCCTATCAAAGAAAATTAGTTAAGTTACAATCAAGGAAATAAAACACTAACTTGTAGTCAAAGATTTTGCTCAACAATATAAACTATTACAACATCAGTCTCAGGAGTGGGATTATTTTCATTACAAAGAAAATAGTATTCAGCTTCAAGATGATGACACATGCTAAAAGTGTGGAAAGAAGGTCAAGAGGAAAGAGACAGCAATTTAAAAGAAAATCGAGAAAAAGATAGAAAATTAGAAGAAACGGGATCTTAAGAGAGGAATTACAGGAAAAAGACATAAGATTTACAAAATCAATTTAATCAAAGATAAGATTGAGGAAGTCAATCCAAATTTACAAAAGAACATCAGTGAAGTACAAAATGATTATAACAACAAAATCAGAGAAATACAAAAGAACATCAATGAAGTAAAGAATGATTATAAAATGAATATTGAAGAAGCCACAGGAAATATATAAAAGGACATCAGCTGTAATGTAAAATATTTAGAAACTGACATGGCAAGTACAAGGATCAAACCAGTCACATCTCTCTTTACATACACTCAAGAATTTCAACCTCAAAATTAATTAGGTATATCATACTGAACAGGAGAATCTAGCTGATCTACACCTTTTACTACTACTGCTGTGCCATTTATGACTGCAAGGCCTTCCCAAACTACTACACCACTACCTCACCAAGTTACATAATTGAGTAATCCAGTTCAACAACAAAGCCCAGTTAAGAAATCAACAAACTGTGATGGAAAGGTATGATGGGGACATAGACACAGTTTGAAATAATTTCCAAATTGAATGGATGGAGCAGTGAACAGCAAGCTTTTCATCCTGCTGCATATTTAAAAGGACCAGCCTTAACAACATTTATTCACAGATGAAAATCTCTTCAGACAAATTATTGAATCCATTGTTATGTGAGAGTAACAGAAAGCAAACAAACATATCACAACCACCACCAAATATAAAAACACTGTACACCAAGTTAAATGTTACATTAGTTTTAAAGGATTAATACTAATTTCTACTTACAACTGCTGTTATTAAGAGTTTTACAAATATCTGAGTCTGTTTTCTTGCATTTCAAATATTTGTGCAGTCAATGACATATATATATATACACTGGGTGGTCACAAGTAAATAGACACCTAATTTTTCGTCATTTAACTGATTTATGCTAACTAATTTGTGTTCACAGAGCACTATATAAATGAAAATGGTCCGCAC